ATAAAAACTAAAATGTTTTTAATAAATTTTAGTTGTTTTCACATTTATAATAATTAGTTTAATTATTACTAGTTGTTTTTTATAACAAATTAAAAACCATATAAAATATTTTAATCAATTAATATATATTCCGCTATTCCGCAAATTTTAAATTTTTCCACGACTTAATTAATTTTTTCCGCAACTTAACTATTATTTCTGCGATTCCGCGATTACGCGATGGTTACCAATCGGAGCCTGAGTCAGTGAAATGGTCAACTGATCATTAAATAAATATCTAAAATTATGAAACAATAGTTCGAAAAAGTAATACTCCCTCCGTTTTAGAATATATGTCATTCTAGGTTTATTTTTTTGTCACAAATTAAGTGTCTTTTTAGAGTTTCGAGGCAAAATTTATTAGTTTTATATAATACTCCCTCCGTTCCTTAAAGATACATATTCTAGAAAAAAAATTTGTTTCTAAAAGATCCATTTTTTACATTTTCAATATATGTTTTGTTAACTAATTGTAAACTTCAAAAAACTTAATTGCACTAATTGATTTTCTATTGGCTAAAAATTATGGAAAGAAGATAAATACAAAAAACAATGCAAATTTATTGTGTTTTATTAAAAAGTGTGAAAAAACTAGAATATGGATCTTTTAGGAATAGAGGGAGTATTATATTTTTCTATTGGTTGAAAAGTGGTTAGTTGTATAAAAAATTGTGTTTTTATCTTGAAAATTTGTAAAATTAAATATTTTCTTAATCTGTGTGCAAAAACCTAGAATGACAAATAAAATGAAACGGAAGGAGTATAAAACGAGAAGAGAATGAAAATGTCAATAAAATCTAGATGATTTTTTGTTTGTTTGTCTGAATTAGTGATGTCTTTTCCACAATGGTTTGAGAAGCGAGTTGACGTTGAAAGTCAGAACAACGTGGGCTTTTGTCGGACTGCCAACTTGTTTATTCTATGTTCTTTGACTTTTCAATTTGTGGAGTTGTCCCTATCCTGATGAACATAGTAGGAGGTTCATCTTTTTTTTTTTGCTTTATTGTTCAACTACAATGTGGCTACGAATCTTTGTTGTAGTTACATGAAATAGAGAATTTGATGATAATTTGTCCAAAAAAAAAAAAAAAGAGAATTTGATGATATTTTGCAGGTGATTTTACCCTTTGTTTTAAAGCAAATGGATACGGGGGAGAAACATCGACATAGCAGCTCTTTTTTGGACCTCTTTTTTGCGAACTGATTTCGTATTCCTCATTCACAACTAAAAAGTGGTCTAGTTAATAAATTAATAAATTATTTATGAACCACTAGTAATTCAAATGTGTGAACAAAAAGTATGGTTCGTATTTCGTAATGTACAGTAACAATTTAGCATATTTCGAGTATATCGAGTGTTTTTTCTGTTTTTCATTTGCAAATTCAACTTATTCCAATAATAAAAATAATAATTTCCAAAAATTTTGTATTTGTAGTGTACAATACAAAATTATTTCTCGGATTTTATGTGATCGTATCAAGATGGTTATGCCTAAGATAATTTCCGAGACTCAAGGGGCTTTTGTTGGAGGCAGATTGATTACAGACAATGTTATTATCGCGCATGAACTGGTACATGCATTGCGCACTAATGAAAAAATTGGTAAAAACTGTATGGCTATTAAGACAGATATGTCAAAGGCTTATGATAGAGTGGAATGGAATTTTTTGGAAGTCTTATTAGAACAAATGGGTTTTGACCGGAAATGGGTATCGTGGATAATGTCGTGTGTTACTACTGTTACTTTCTCGGTCTTACTTAATGGTCGCTCTCATGGGTTTATTAAACCAGAAAGAGGAATTCGACAAGGAGATCCGTTATCCCCTTTTCTTTTTATTTTGTGTGCTGAAGCATTAATCCATGTCCTCAACAGAGCTGAAGCTCAAGGAAAATTACATGGTATAAAGTTAGCTGTAGGTAGCCCATCTATCCATCATTTGCTTTTCGCGGATGACAGTTTATTGTTGTGTGAAGCCTCTATTAATGATAGTGAAGAAATTTTGAGAGGTTTGAAACTTTATGGGGATGCGTCTGGGCAACTGATTAACCCCTTGAAATTTTCTATCAATTTTGGAAAAAATATAGCAGACAGGACAAAGCAGACGATAAAAGAGGTTTTGGACATAGAAAAAGAAGGTGGAGAAGGGACATATCTTGGACTCCCAGAATGCTTTCAAGGTTCAAAAAAGGATATTTTAAACTTTATAAAAGAAAAATTGGAAGGACGGCTGCAAGGATGGTATTCTAAAACTTTGTCGATGGGGGCCAAGGAAGTGTTAATAAAATCGGTAGCTCTAGCACTCCCCATATATGCAATGTCGGTGTTTAAATTACCAAAGGGTCTGTGTGAACGAATTACTAGCGCGATTATAGAATTTTGGTGGAGTAGTGGGGATAAAAAAAGGAAGATTCCTTGGGTTGCGTGGGAAAAGTTGTGTAAACCCAAAGAACAGGGTGGTCTTGGGTTCCATGACATTGGTCGTTTCAATCAGGCTTTGCTCGGGAAACAAGCCTGGCGTATTTGGAATAATCCTGATTCTTTGGTTTCCAGGATTCTTAAAGGTAAATACTTTAAAGATGGACAATTTCTTGATTGTGGGATGGGGACACGTCCATCATATGCATGGAGGAGTATCATGCATGGTAGAGAATTACTAAAAAAAGGCTTGTATCGACATATTGGCAATGGGGCAGATTCAAATGTTTGGGCTGAAAACTGGATTATAGATACCATCCCTCGGCCTCCAATGTATCGAGAGAATAGCTCTGTAAATCTGACTCTAAAAGTTTCAGATTTACTTAGGGAAGGAACAAATCAATGGAATACGGCTTTATTACAACAGACCTTTACACAAGATGATGTTCAAAGGATCTTACTTTTAAAACCTTCACTGGTAACTGATGATTCGATCCGGTGGGGTTTTACACCAAGTGGTCTATATTCGACTCGGAGTGGCTATAAGCTATTAGATACTTTGGTGGAATTGGAGCAGCCACAAGGTCATTCGCTCACCCCTATTGAAAAACAATTATGGAGAGACTTATGGAAGACCAAAGCTCCACCAAAAATTAAACATTTTTTGTGGCGTGCTCTCTCTGGTGCCTTAGCGGTTAAACAACGTCTGACTACTCGGGGTATTCCGATTGATCCAACATGTTCGGTATGTGGTCATGGTACTGAGAGTATATGCCATGTTCTTTTTACTTGTCCTAAAGCACGTGCCGCATGGGAGCAATCCAACCTTCCTATTCCCTTTGGAGGTTTCTCTCGGAACTCTACCTTTTTAAATTTTGTTCACTTGATCAAAATTGCAAAGAGTTCTTCCACAGACATACATAAAAGAAATGTGTTTCCATGGTTGCTGTGGGAAATTTGGAAGGCTCGAAATGTTTTTGTCTTTGAAAATAAGATTATTGAGCCTTCTTTTATTTCAAAAAGAGCTTATGAGGAGGAATCTATGTGGTTTGATACATTCACAACAACGACGGATGGTGTAAGGACAGGAAATATGGAAAGGATCTGTTGGCAAACGCCAACCAGTGGTTTCCTCAAATGTAATGTTGGATCCTCATGGATTAAATCTAACCAACCCAGTGGTGCTTCATGGATTTTACGTGATGAAAAAGGATGTACAATCATGCATAGCCGGCGATCCTATTCTTTTATGCGCTCCAAAACAGAAGCTGACCTATGGGCTCTTTCATGGGCGGTTGAATGTCTACAGAACCTACATTTCTCAAATATTATCTTCGAGACTTCGTCGGAGAGCCTCCAGGACGCTTTCACACACCCTGACCGATACCTTAGCTTCAGCCATATCCGTCACACTATCTTATCTCTCCTTGCACGAATAAATTCATGGAGTTTGAATCACGCCCTTCCTGATCGTAATGAAGCTGCTACATCAATTGCCATAAGCGTAACTCGTGATCGACGACTTCAGTCTTACATCGCCCGCAGCTATCCACCTTGGCTACATCACCTACTCAATTTGGAGACTCCACAAGAAGGGGTTAGGTGAGGTCTCTTTCATTTTTCTTGGTGTCTATTGACATCTCATCACATTTTGTTTTTGTTTTTGGTCATTGTTGTAAACTTCTCAAGGATGGTTAAAGCAGTGTTATAAAAAAAAAAAATAATAATAACTAAACTGTTTCTTGTTCCTTTTAACCTTTTTAATTCATTTTATTTTAAATTTGTAGCTTTTAATCTTTTTCTAAGTTTTAACCAGCACGTTTAAATTATCTTTTACAAATTTTGAAATTTATATATATTTTAAATTTTTCAAAATATAAAATTAATTAAAATAACATATACGTTTAAGTAATTTATGCCAAAATATTTATATTTAACATAAAGTTTTGGTCTGATTTAAATATTTGAATGGATAATCAATAAATATTTAAAGTATTATTGGTGTTTTGAGTATTAATTAGCTATTTTAGATATTTATAATCATAACCTCTGTATATAAAACACCTTGTGGTCTTAAACACCTTGGGTACTGGAAATGTTTAACAGTTAAACAGAAACATTCCCTATAAAGCTTTTCAGATACGGATGTTGAACTCTTTGATAGATGCATGTCCAATAAGTCATACGACAAGTTAATTTGATATACTTATCATGCAACATAGCACTTGAAAGACAGATGTGCACATGACCATTTGTTTAGAGTATCCTTCTACAGCTATTTTGAGTGACATGTGAACTTTTAAACAAAGGATGATTGGCAGGATTGAATCTTTAAAATATGTGATATAAATTTGTAGATTTTTTTTGATGTTGATGTAGTGACTATAGCTGTAAAAAATTTAAATTAATGGAATAAATATACTAGGAATATACTTTTAGAACCGTATATATTTCTACTGCAAAAAATATAATTTTAGTAAATAAATGGTTCAAAGCCATTTTTAATATTTTTTTTGTTTGTAGTTTTAAAAATTAAGTTAAAGTATGATTGATAATTTTAAAGATTGTAGATAAAAATTAAGCTAAAACATGTATATAGAATCCAATCAATCACTCCAAAATAACCAACTAATTTGTCATATCCAGGTAATGTATAGTCATTTAATTAATGATCGATTTAATAATTACAATATTTAATACTCAGTTCACAAACATTTAATATTATGAAACACATATACTCCCTCAATTTCAATAGATCCATGTTTAAGAAAAAACATTGTTTCTAAAAAATATATATTTCATATTCTCAATACATATAATAATGATAAATTATAAATTTCAAAAATATTAACTGTGTTTATTAAATATTGATTGACTAAAACTTATAGAAAATAACTAATCACAAAATAATACTACCTCCGTTTTGAAAATAAGACATTTAGAAAATTTCACAGAGATTATGAAATAATAAATGCACTTTTTCTCTAAGCATTTGTGTCTAATGCTTTGCTTGATTCTACACCAAAAGTTGCCGGGATATTTGTTTTTCTGTTTTTTTTATTATGGTTGCATTTAAATCAGTTTACACATTTTTTGTTAATTGTTCCTATTCCTTAAATAATGAATGTAACTTACTAGAAATCATTACAATTTCGTAAAATGATTCAAATATAAAGATAAAACTAATTTTGTTGCAAAGAAAAAATTTTAGAATGGAGCCAAAACTAATTTATTTTGCAAAGCAAAATTTTTAGAGTGGAGCCAAAACATATTCTAAAATGTTCTATATTAAGACACCATTTTCCAGTTTTATAATCAACTTTCATTCATGGCTTTTCATATTTTTATTTAAATATACCATTTGTTTTTACCCAAAAAACATTTATGCATGTCATTGTAAATATCACATGCTCATAACTGACTGAATTTATTCTTCATCATAGTAGGAAAAACATTAATGACAATATGTAAAATCTTTGTGGAATAAGGAAAACATCCAAAACGTCTTACATTTCAAAACGGAGGTAGCATATTTATTAATATGTTTTTTAAAATATACATCATTCTGGAATCGAGGAAGTACTAGAAGTATTAAATAGCCTTATTTCCGTTGGATTACTTGTGGATGTATATATAGTGGAATTCAAATATGAGCATATAAATATGTACTTTTAGCATTTATTATGTTTCACTGGCTTTGAGCCTTTGAGTAGTGGACATTCAATGTTGGACAAAATAACAAGTGCTGGTTATCTGAGATAAGGATGTTATGGAGAATAAAACTTTAAATTATGCGTTCGATAAACACAGTTTTAACTTCATCATGGATCATGTGCATTTAGAGCATTCACATCAATGAACTCCCTCTTGGGGTTCATTGAAACAATTTTTTATTATTAAAATTTTTCTATTTTCTTTTTGCTTTTTTTTTAAAAAAAAAAAAAAAAAAAAAGATCTAGACCAATCTCGGACCGCCACGTGTTGAACCTCAGGAGAGAGAGGTTCACCCGAGAGAACTTTAGGAGAGAGGGGTTCATAGGATTTTGTTATTTTATTATTTTATTTTTTTGGTTTCCGTGTGAACCCCCCATTTGAACTCTCAATGGGGGTGCTCTTATTATCCTTAACCCCTAGTGGACATTTCGTGTTTGACATGATAGTGTAGATGTGAGTTCTTTCTTGGAGATGGTCCACCATCTACATATCATGAGTCTTTCTAGTTCTATTTGGACTGAAATGAGTTTAATTTTTCTTTTAAAAAATTGTAGTTTAGTGGTGTGTATTAATGTTGGCAAAATATAGAAAGACAAATCATTTACTTCATTTAGGTATAGTGGAGTTCGCGCTACAGTGATGAACTTTAGGAGAGAGGGGTTCACCCAAAAAAATTTTAGAAGAAAAAGGTTCATGAGGTTTTCTTATTTTATTATTTTTTCTCTTGAGTTTCGTGTGAACTTTCTCATAAAACTTTCTGTAAACTCTTGATGGACTTGCTCTTATAATAGAAAACGGAGGGGTATCTCTTTTCTTTTCTTTTTTTGACCCAAAACAAAAGATATCTCTTTATCTCTATTGTTGTAATCTGGCATCTCGTCACACAAGAGACAAAGAAGGAACAGAGAAACGCACACACACGCAAAGAAAAATATCACTGAAACATATTGTACTTATCTCTCTCATTATTGTTTATTGGATTTCCACTCCATGATTGCTGAGTAAAGAGTGTAATTAGCAAGAAGGTTCTTGTCAGGCAACTCAAGATTTGTCACCGGGGACGTATCATTCTCTCTCAGCCAGTTCTGTATGGCTTCACGATCGTACGTGTACCCATCTGCAGCTACGCACGGCTCGTTCATCACTCCCTGTAAAAAATATAAAGAAAACTAGGTTAAATCATGAAGAATACAAAGTTTCTTGTCATGCAAGTAACCAATAACTTTCAAACTAGGTTAAATCTACAAAGTTTCTTGTCCTGCAAGAAAACAGTAACTTTCAAACCTTGAGAAGTGGACAAATGAAGTGAGATGGAGGACCAGAAGGAGTTTTCCCCCGAAGGTTTTGAGCTTTGTCAACGACTTTCCAAAGCCGTTCCAAAGTAGGGATGATCAGATCTTTAAGGTCTGGTCTGTCTCTGCGTCTCAGTTCGGTACACCATAGTCCCAAAGCAGCTAACTCACGAGTCTCACTAATAGGCCACGGTCCAGCTTTCATATCCAACAATGCCATAAACTCAGCATCGTCTCCAATAGCTTCTTCAACCTTGTGAGTAATGCCTATCGCGGGCTTGGCAGTTATCAGCTGCAGAATCACAATACCTAGTGAATACACATCAGACTTAGGTGAGATTATCCCGGTCCGTTGATACTCAGGGTCGATGTAACATAGTGTTCCCACAGGATTTGTTTTCTTTAAGACGGTTAGTTTAGAAGAATTGTCGTCTTGATTAACCATCGTGGATAGACCAACATCTCCGAGTTTGCTGACAAAGTTGTGGTCAAGTAAGATGTTTCCTGGTTTGAGGTCACGGTGAATGATTGGTCTAGGCTTTGTTTTGTGGAGGAAAACTAGCGCTGAAGCGACTTCTAAGGCGATCTTGAAACGGTTGAACCAAGGGATAGGAGGTGTGTTGTTGACTTGCATCAACCTGTCATCTAAGCTTCCATTGTCCATGTATTCGTAAACCAGGCAGCCTCGTTCGGGACATGCCCCAAGGAGGAGGACAAGGTGAGGATGTCGGATCTTGCTCAAGATCTCAAGCTGTCAAAACATAAATACAAAACATTTAAAGTCTGATTGGCAGGGCCGGCCCTGAGGTATGCCTAATGAAACATTTGTCTCAAGCCTCCAAATATTTTGAAGAAAATTACATGAGTATAGGCCCCCAAAAAAATTTTTTAAGCCCCCAAAATTTTTTTTACATAGAAACCGCCATAGGCCCCCAAAATCTCAGGGCCGGCCCTGCTGATTGGTAAACTTGTGTGGTAAACAAAAAAAAAAGAAACTAAGGAATGAAGTAAGCCTGAAGATTATTTATTAGAGTAGGTCCTAAGATTTTGAGAGGGCCATAAATATTTTAAGGTAAATCTTAATAAATATTTTCTTCTTATAATCTAGGTATCCATAATAGTTATATTTATTTCCTCTTTAAACTTTGGGAGCCATGATGAATGTTTAATCGTGCTATGCTCATGACCGGCTCTGCTTCATGTAACTAGAGAACTGACCTCTTGATCAAACTGTTTAGAGAGTTGAGTTTCTCCTGCATGAAGGACCTTGACAGCACCAATCGTGTGATGGAGATTGCATTTGTAAACGGTCCCATAGGATCCGACTCCGATTTTGAGTTCTTCCGAAAAGTTTGAAGTCGCGACTTCAATCTCTTCCCATGAGTAGTATTGGTACTGGATCCCTGGAGAGATGAGAGAAGCGTGGAGCTTATCTTTCTCTTTAGCGTGACGTTCTGCTTTGATCTCAACTTCTCTTCTGCGTAAAGCCTCTTTCATCATGAGTTCTTTAACTTTCTTTACCTCCTTCATCGTCTCTTCGTACCTCTGCTTCTCCTTTGAAGCTGAATCTTTAGCTTCTTCTTCCTTTTCTCTCAGCTTCATAAGCTTCTCTGACTCTTCATATCTTCGCTTGTTTAGCTCTGTTAGCTGCAACCAAAACCCAAATAGGAACAAGAAATGTAACATAACATTAAAATTGCACGGTCTATGCGGTTCAAAAGCTCTAACTATAACCTTTTGAAAGGCTTCAGCAGTCTCGGTTTGAGTCGTAGCATACATATCCTGAACATGTTTCAGCTCGGCTCTCAACTTCTCCATCTCAAATATCTGAGTTGCCTATGCAATTTGTTGTGAACAAACGCAAATGAAACTCGAAGCAAACAAGAACGCTCAGAAAGAAACTCAAGAAATCTTAGAAAGAATCTTGAGTCAGAAAATTACATGTTTTTAGGATTTGTATATTGATTACATGAATATTATACACTCTTATTTATTATTAAGCTAGACGAGCTTCCAGCTTCCAATCTAAAACCAATTGGTGATAAGTGCATGACCTATTTATCTTATATACTAGTTAATATCATTTCCAACTCCCGATGTGGGACACTTTGTGTCTAATGCTCCCGTTCGAGATGATGATTCTCTGAGCATCAATCTCGGAATGTTCGGGTAAGGATCGATGGACACATCTTTGGACCAGATCGATGAGGATCGGGTTGAACTTTGTAGATCGAGGACTCTAATACCATATTAAGCTAGATGGATTTCCAACCTAAAACCAATTGGTTTTAGATTGGAAGTCCATCTAGCTTAATATTTATACAGTCTCAAAATCCGATATTTATCTTTTAAAACTTCCTTATTTAATAAAATCAGTTTTCCTAATCCCAACAAACATGTCATTTTATTGGTGCACCAAAATTTAAGTCATTTCTAGAATCAACACAAGATCTAACTCAGTTCCAAAAATAACATGTTTTGTCTCTCCATAGAAACAGAATCAAGATCAATACAGTATGAGGGCTCTGAGTCAGATGACTCTAGACTCTGGCTCTCAGATCTCTAGAGAAAACAGAATCAAGAATCAAGACAGTTAACTTACCTGATTATTATCTGTCGTTGAATGGACACTGGGGTGACCATCAGACATGTTAGATGCTTGATGGGAAACAAATGAATAGTTCGCAGGAATCACTGCTCCCCCATCCATATTAGCTATCTCATGGTTGTTGCGCGAATGGGCTCTGGGACTAGAACTATCAGGAGAGCTACTCGTGGAACTGTCTCTCTCCATTCTCTCGAACGTTATCCTTCCGCTAGATTCTGAATCGGAAGGACGCACGGAAGCTAGTCTCCCCTTTGAGACAACATAGACTGTGCAGAATCTTGGCACAGCAGTCGCGATCAAAGAAGCCATATCGATCTTTTTCGTGAAGAATCCAGGAACAGAAATACCTATAACGAGTTTGGTGACTCCAGTTCCAGCAATCTCTTCCGCTATCGCAGCTACAGGATCGTGTGATTCCAGCACTAGGATCTCTACTCGTACCTAATTTGTAACATTTTGAGATAACATAATAAGAAAGGAAAGACTGAACTTAGCTCTTGAGACCATACCTTTCTCCTTTCGAACATGTTCTTGTAAGGAAGAAGCATCTCATTTGTTTTCGAATCCGCTTCTCTTCTGTAATCTGATACTACTTCAGCTCTTGCCTCTGATATCGATATCGCTTTCCCCACTGAAACCAAAAAAAATAAGACTCAATCTTGGTGAACACATAGATCTTTTGCATTAGCTACAAGATTCTGGTCACAGCTTACTTGGGGTAACAATGTAAGTGATAGGAGGACGAACATGGATCAATTTGAAATCAGAAAAGCCTTGAGGGATTAACTTCTCAAGAGCCCAAAACGTGACGTATTTGCTCTTCTTCTTTCCGTTAATGGCTACAGCTACACCAGGTGATGGGGGAGGAGGTAGAGCTAGGTGTTCGTTTAATGATCGTGCTGATCTTTTCTCTCCCATTATTGATTTACCTGAAACTAATGTAATGTAAATGTAATAATATATCTCAGCGAAGACGTAACTTACCTAGTAGTTTCTGTTCTAGAAGAGAACTACGAGGAAGAGAACCCTAAGTTTGGTGATATCTAATGAAATTTTCTTAATAGGAATTAATTGCAACAAGCAATCACGTTGTTGCCACCACAACCTTTATTTATAACTAGTTCAATAATTAATTAATTCCCTATAGTATATATGACTATTTATTAATGTGTTACAGAATCGTTGAAGATACCTAGGAAGAACTATGTTCACATATGTGCACATCTTCACCTTATGTGCTCGTGCTCTTACCAAAAAAAAAAAAGGATTTTGAATTTTGATAATTACAGAAAGTCAACTATGTTCACATATGTTCACATCTTCACTGAGAAAAAAAAAAAATAATAATACTAGAGTAATAGTTTTCTGATCAATTCAGATATCCGAAGAAGTTAAAACGGCCAATGGGGAACATATTTCTGTTTAAGGAAACAATACTACACAATAATACTCCAAACGTGGGCACGCAATCCTTGTTCATTCTACAGCTGGTGAAGTCGGGTCTCTCTTGTGTCAATGGGCAAATGTGCTTGGAGCCTTGCTCGGTCACTGAAATTGTATCAATAGAATTATATGTAAGTTACATACTTATAAGAACCAAAAGAGGAAAATTAAATAATGTTTTAAGGTTTTGAATAGTAAATTTCAAATTTTACTATTTAGATTCTTCAAATTTGAAGATTCGATGGCCTGTTGAAAAACCAAAATAAGATATTAAAACTTCTTAATATATATATATATATATATATATAAAAGTTCATAAAAATTAAAAGAATAATACTTATATTATTTGTTGTATAATTGATCGGGTTACAACTGATATTTTACGGCTGCAGCTTATATTGTTTTTCATTAAATAAACAAAATATTTCATTAAGAGATGGAATGACAAATGGTTTAACCTATTCAGTTATAAAGTTAAAAAAATGAATTTTGACTAATGCAAAACAGGTCCTAATGTTTAATTTGCTAATAATTTACAATAGTGTCATTATTTTTTTTTGACAAGTACTATTTAAATTTATATAACAAATTATGAAACTATAGTTTAAACATGTGAAGTCTGATATTTGGGGAAAATATTTTTTTTCGAATCAATTTACAAAAATAAAAAATATTTAATGAACGAGAAAATCCTTTAAAATACAATAGCACAAAAGTGATATTATAAAATATTTTGAGGTTAAAAATAAAAACGAATATTTTAGTAAGATAGATATTAAAACATAGCTAAGAAAACTATTGAGAAATTTAGTCTTGAAAATATTATCCAAATAAAAAAATCAAACTCGAACCAAAACGAAAAATTAAAACCCAAACCATACCAAAATTTTTAAAAGCCCAAACAATTACTATTTCTCAAACCCGAAAACTAAAACTAAAATCAGAACTGCACTAATAACCGAACAAGTATCCAAATATATAAAATATAATAAAAATATTAATTATCAGAATATATAATATAATTTATATATTATAATATGAAAAACCCTTAATTACTTAAACTACCATTTTTGGATTTTTAGGGTTAATTCGTTTTTCAAAGTTTTTTGAGATTTTTGGATTGAACATGACTCAAATTCACACTATTTATAATTCGGTTTTATTTCAGGTTTTACAAAAAGAATATAAATGCAAATTGAATCCAACATTACTCGAATTGAACTGATCCGGAAAATATTTGGTTCTTACATTGGTCCTAAACACCTAAACCAAAATAACTCGAAAAAATATAAATACAAATCCAATCTAACATTACTCAAACTAAACCAATCCAAAAATGTAACGGTACCTAAACATCCAACCCGAATCACTATAAGGCAACAATATAAATTACTTTTAATTAAAAGCGTCGAAATTCAAATATTAAACTTAAAAAAAAAATTGTAGTAATTCCTAAATTAGAAAAATTAACCAAAAACTTGTCCAGCGCTTTTAGAGCGCGGGTCAAAATCTAGTATATACTATTATAATAGAAGTCATGACTTCTTTCATGTGTGATTTTTTTTTAAAAAAAAATTGGACCATCCTTAGAAAGTTATCAATTTTATCATAACTTAATCATAATATATTTAATATCTTTATTTTTTTTCTTCTTTTCTTCGTATGAATAACTCTAGAGGAGATTTTTTCTTTTTCCAATATCAGTTTTGTGTAATTTGAAATATAATGATGATAAATTTTCTAAATTATAGTTAAATTGCCATCAATTTCAATTTTGGTAAAACAGTAAACGGATCAGTAGAATATTTGTGAAATTGATGTGATATAGAGGATGTGACATAATTGATCTTGTAAGTTTCGGCTAGTCATTGAAAGGCAAAATTACTTACCTAAGGTTATGTATTTTTGCAACTTATCTATTCTTTTTAGTATAGCTGGTAATTTTTCTGTGTGTTTAAATTTAAAAACACAATTCTAAAATTTAAAGCTTTATTAATATGTTCCTCCAGATATATGATTTTGCCAAATTTCAAATTAGTTTTGACATTGAGTTTTATGCGACTTCTCAACCAATGAATTAAAGAGACATGACAACGACTCATGAACTCATAAAAGATCTCTTGTTTTAGTGCAAAAAAAGAGAAAGCAAAGAAGACTAAGTTCTCTCCCCTCAACAATGTCATTGTTGTTAGTTTCATTCTTTCTTTAATTCAGTTACAATACAATATTCCATCAGATAAATTGTGTTAAATTATTCACATTAGTCTCATTCTTTCTCTAATTCAGTTACATTACAATATTTCAATAAATTTATTAAATTATAATTTTTATAAGTTGTATATTTTAAAAAAAAAATTGAAAATATTATTTTGCTTATATTAAACATTAACCCACATAACACGCTAAACTTATATGTACATAATTCATTTTATTTTATTTTATGATAAAAATTGAAATATTGTAATTTGGTTCAAATTAATTTTGATATTTTATATAATAGAAATGACTTATTATGTTCATTTAACTCATTTGATACTTGATAAAATATTTTCTCTATTTGTTAAAATGACCTGTAAAAACTATCTATTACTATTAAAAGGGCTAATTCAAGCCACATTAGAGTGTCCACATAGGCATTTTTATTTAACCAATAATATTCTTCCAAAGCTCCATGTCATATTCGGTTTGACATCTGATTTTGGTTCTAAAATAAAATTAGGATTTTTGGTTTGGTTGTCTGAAATACTGGTTTGGGTTTGTGTCGGCAGAATAAGTAGTCT